CGGGAGTGTCTCCACGGCCTTCGCGGGCCTTGCCGCGGGAGTTTTTGTGGCGATGACGGGGCTGAGGGCGGGAGGAGCTCTGCGCTGGTTGATCGTGTTTAGCAATGCTGAACGCTGCGCCTCCTGATAGCTGCAGCCGGTTATCCTGATCCCGTCCCGCAGCACAGTGCCGTGGTGGTGTGTTCTGCAAGTGTTTTCGTTGGAGAAAAAAAAGTTACATAAGTTTAACCCGCTTAACTGAGAACTGAGTTCTTAACACCGGAGAATACTTTTTTTTCATGTTGTAAGATTGTTTCAGGTTTTTTGTCCAGCGTGTTACACCCTGAGCTAAATCCCTGCATTGGTTGCTGTATTCAGTGATACAGGATGCTGTTCCCTCTGGTGCTGTGTGCCCTTGTGCTAACAGGGAGTGGCAAAGTTCAAGAGGATGAGTGGATTGACCCCACGGATATGCTCAATTACGATGCAGCGTCAGGAACGATGAGAAGACCTTACAAGGTAGAAGAAGAAAGAATGCATGAATGTGTGTCTCTCCCCAACAGCCACACACTGTTCAAAGATTGCCCTTTAAATCGTGAAATTTGAAAATGATAGAATTAGGGTCTTTTTAAGGTTACATCTGAATCGATACACAGAAGAGTATTGTGTGTCCACTGTTAAAATGGCAAGAAAAAATAGCAATCTGTATTATTGTAGATAATTAGCTCAGGGCCTTTTGCTGATGAGTTTCTGTTGCACAGTGATCAAGTCAGAGGAACCCTGCTTTCTGTCTTTTCAGAGATGGTGGTCTACTGAGTTATGCAGGTTGTGGCTCCACCAGTAATTTCTCTGGGTTAAGGTGCTCTTGCTTATGAACTATAGTGTTAGATATCTTGGAAATTAAGTTCCTAGCTGATAAAGGTTGAGGGAGTTAAGTTTAACAATTACATTTTACATGAATAATCCAGTTCCCCAGTAATATGGGAATAAACCTAATTTATTGTGTGAGAGTACTGCGAATGTGAATGGTGTTGTGTAACGCTGGGCATCAGAGCTTTTAGAAGGAAGATCAGGACAGGGATGGAGTGCTGTACTGTTAATAATTCACGAACATTGAGAAGATCAAATACAAAAAGCTAGTTTTAACCAGGTGACTCATACTCCGTTGTCTTTTATGAGGGGTGGACTTGACATCTATTGTTTATCCGGCACAGTGTGCACACATGACGCTGTAAGCTGCAGTTGGTTGTCTGGGCACCCTTGATTTTTGCCATTCTTCAGCTTTCAGGTTTGGTTTTGCAGTCTTGAATAATACCATTTTAACGCTTCGGAACATCATTTTCTGAAGCTTAAAAAAAAAATGCAAACTGCATTCTCTCCACAGAGTTCCTCCTTAGCATCTGCTTGTCCCAAGTCCACCTGATAGTCATTAGCGTCCCTAAAATTCAGCAGCAAGCTTTGGAGTCTTTAAACTTGGTGCCTAACTGCTGCAGCTTTTATTAAAAAAAATTAAGAGTTTTACTGTTGTCTCCTATGCAAATGGAACTGCATCTTAAAGGAGAAGAATGACTGCTTTGTGTGAATCCACGTTGTCAGGATTTCTTTTCTGCTCTGTAGGGAGAGGTTTCAGGTAGGCAGGCTGGTTGGGCCAGCCCTCCTCAGCACTTTGGAGCAACGTGAGTTCACTCCTCTGGGTGATGGCATGCTTCCTTTTGGAGACTTCCCTCAGCGCGCATACCTGGGTTTGTAGCAGCATTGCTAAAGCTGAGCAAGGAACAGCAAAAATGGGAAGTTTCAGAGTGAAGAGGGAGCGTGAAAGGAAGGCGTGCAGCCCCGAATGGCGGTTTGTGTTTACTCTCAGCCCGGCTGGCTGCGTGGCCAGCTGTGCTGGGGATCTGTCCGGCTGCAGACTGCCCCTTTGCTCGCTGGGTCAGTTTTCAGCCAGCCCGGTTAGCTAATCGGGTGCACTGGGGGCTCACCAGCACTCCAGGAAGGGGAAAGGGCAGGTGGGGGAGGACAGGGCAGGACCTCACCTTTTGAAGGCAGCATGCATTGAGCTAAACTTAGAGCAGTTGTCTGCTTGGAGCCTAAAATAACAGCAGAAAGGCTGCTGGAGTATCAGGAGAGTATTAGCAGCAGAGACCAACACTCAGATTTTAGCTCCTTTGCTCCTTTTAAAGTGATCTGACTGCAGAAGTGTAACATGGCATATTGGACAAATTCTTTTATTCTAAAAATATGTTTTTCTTCTGTAATTTTAGGCAAACTATCATGACCCTGAGGATAAGACTGTGGATACAGTCAGTACTGAAATCTTGACGAGTTGTTCCAGGGAAACAGCTTCCCTGCAGCAGAAGGTTTGTTTTGGAACTTCAGAATATTTTCCAGCTTTTTCTAGTCTGTGCTTTTTGCTGATGCTTTTCTGGCTAGTGTAGGACAGGTGAATTGCTGGAATAATTTGTGAGAGACCATACATTAGGTAGGAGGAACCTCTTTATTCAGGGGAGAGACTGAAAGTGGTTTGAACTGAATTCCAAATTGCTGCTCAGCCTACCAAGGTCTGATTCCTAACATGTTTTATAGTGTAACAGAAGTTGACAGGAGCTATGTGCTTCTGTCCAGTGTCAACAGTTTAAACATGTGGTGTTGATGTTACACCATGCTGCCAACAGCTAAGAAACCTGACCTTTCAAGTTGTTCAATTTGGAGACCCAATGGGATATGTAATTTTAATGTTGCTTTAGTTACTCAGTATTTTTTACAGTTCCCTTTTTTTTTGTGTGTGATGTGAACTTAAAATTTAAGGAGATCCAGATCTTTAGTTTTTTCTTGTCTTACTGAGGTTAGTGTTCATATTATTAGCAGTTCTGAACTCTCCAGTACTGGCCAGTCCCATGGCAAGTAGTATTTTCAGCTACTGCGTATGCTTTTTACCTGGTGTACTAATCACAGGGTTATTGCTAAAGCCTGAGTTTAATGTGTTGGTAAGGTGGGTTTTTTTTCTCCTATGAACAAGCTGCTTTGAGCAGGAAGTGAATAAAAGTGTCTTTACGTTGTAGATTGCAGACTGTGAGAAGAGGAATGCCAAATCACATGAAAGCCGTAGCTTTTATATTTTTAAGCGATACTTGAATAAGATTTTAAATGAAGCTGGAAAACTTGGCCTTGTAAGTATTTGAACATTCATGAAGAATAAATTTGAATTCATATTGCTCCTTTCTGGTTTTTCAGAGTTATCAAGCCGCGTTAATCATCTAGGGTCGTAACTTTTGAGAGAGTTCGCATGGAAGAATCACCTTATTACTTTATTATATTGCCTTCAGAGATTTTTTTTTTTCTGTTCAGAGGTAGAAGAATACATTTTTAGCAATAAGCAAAATTAATATTTAACAAAGAACATTATATTTAGCAATGTAAAATGTCTTATTTCAGTATTTAATAGCTTCTGTCTGTATTAGCCAGCCACAAGCGGGGCACACACAGCACATCTGTAATTATTACTTGATAATGAGAAGTGGTTCTAAAATTTTAGTAACAGGTGAGATAAGTCCCACTTTTTAGGTTTTTGCTGTAGAATTGAAAGAGTACAAACCAGTTGAATTTATGTTTTATATGGTTCAGAAGAATGAACAAAAAAGTTACAGAATCGTAGCGTGCTCCTTGTCTCAAGGCTTCATCCTGCAGTCTGCTTCAAAAAGGTGCAGGTGCATCACGAGGGCACATAATCGGGTTTTTGCTTACGGATACAGTTTTTCCTATGTGCTTCTATTTCCAAATAAGCAGTTTGTAACCACTGTTTTGCTTTGCCTTTAATTCAGCCTGAGGAAGATGTGGACCACGTCCATTACGATGCTGAGATCATCCTTACAAAACAGACGTACTTGGAGATCCTGAGGTTTCTCCGTGAGGACACTTGGCAGTCAGGGGCTGTGGATGATGCACTTAGTGATATTTTGATCAATTTTAAGCACCATGATTATAAAGCTTGGCACTGGAGATTTGAAGACACTTTTGGAATTGATCTATACAATATGTTTCTGGTAAGAGAAGAAGAAAGGGTTTTTGTTGTTTTTAATTGCTGTTTTCTCCAGTTTCTTTGTGCAAGTCTAGTCAATGAATTTTACTGTCGTAACTCTGCGTGTAAAGCAGTTCTTTGCGTGGTGCTTACAGTGAGTCACTCTGTTGGCTGAAGGTAGAGGCTGTGTGTTCACTTCAAGTAAGAATTCAAGTTTTTATTCCTGTGGTCATCTCTGCTTGTTGTAGCTTTGTGTTTTTTTCTGGTATGCTTTCCTTTTTCTCTTCCTGTCTTTTATGTGTGTTGAGTGACTAATTAGACTCTAGTACTTTCTTACCACTGACAACTCGTGCATGATAAATTTTCCGGATTTATCTCCTGTTCAAATAGATGCTGAAGCTATTGCCTTCTGCAGGAGTTGGAATATCTTTATATTGAGACAAGTATATACTTGAGGTCTTATAGGGTAGAGGTTTTTGTGAATTTTGTGGAAAAAAATTGTATAGTGTTGGAGAGAAGGAAAGCGTGACTGTAAAAATGTTCTATTTTCTGTGCTAAGCTGAGGATCTCTAATAAGCTGAAGCTCTCTGAAGAAATCTTTACAGTGCAGAATATGCTAACATTTTATGCTGACATGATCTGGAAAGTAGCCTGTCTAGTTCTGAGGGAAGCCAAGTGAAAAAAGAAAGCTGTCAGTAGCGTAATCTCCCTGTTCGAGGTCCTCGAATGGGAAGAGACTGTCAGGTCCTTCTCTGAAGTCTTGCTGCTGTTATCCAAACTGTAACTTTGTCTCTTAACCAAGCTGCAGGAGCTGGCAGCAGCGGTTCTGTGGTTCCTACCAGGCACAAACTACTCAAGCACTGAATTACACCAATTTTATAATTTTCAAGTATGGTAGGAAAGGTGATAAATATCCGAAGGAAGAAATAATTAAATAGCACGAGAAAAATCAGCAACTGCAACATAAGGCTGTGATAGGAGTGACTACCATGGAACGTTTCTGCCTTGTACTGCTGCAGATACGCTGTGAAAGCAAGGAAAAATTCTCTCAACTGTTCTGTGTAATTTGGAAAATTCCAAATCTGGATCAGAATTTTGTGCTGTTTTCTTTTTCAGATACTTTTGTGCTTAGTGTGCATTGTAATTGTAATAGCTACAGAGCTCTGGACACGTATTCATTGGTTTGTTCAGCTGAAACGTGTTTTATTAATAAGTTTTCTCATCAGTTTTGCATGGAATTGGCTTTACTTGTATAAGGTAAGTTGTTCTGAAATCTTAATGGCTTTTAGGCTTAAAATTTGACAGTTAGGAGGAACTTGAGGTTATTGAGTTCCTTTAGTTTATATAACACAATAAGTGACCGTAAAATAAATAAAAGGATTAATGTTTCATTTTGCATGTTGACAGGTGTATTAGGCTTAAAGAACAAAGGGAACCCTGACAATTTTTATCCTGCCCCAGAGGTTCACAGAATTCATCAAGCAGTAGAACCACGATTTTACTGCATGGGCAAGGGACACGTGAACTCTGTCTAAAGCAGCTCCGTAGAAAAGTCTTACGGAAATATACTGTGGGTTTTTTTTTTTTCTGAAGAATCCCTGGCTGAAAGCGTATTTAACGTGTCATAGACCAGAGATAAATGCTTCATTAATGGTGATAAAGTAGCTGACTGTACAGTGGTACTGGTTTTAATGAGAAGGAATTTATGCTACTAGGTCATAGTCCAACCACAGAATCTCAGTCCTCACATCTTGTCATCAGAATTGAACTATTTATAATTTAACTCCTTAGATTGTTTAGGTAGCAAACTTTTCTTAATACAGATCTACCCGGATAATGATCCCAAACCTGCGAAGAACAAGCATCCTTAGCTCAGGTGCAGTGCTGCATCCACGCAGGTGTTCTGCGCCCAGCACCGCCTTGGTTTATGTTTTACACGTAATTCCTGTTCTCCTGCAGCTGGCCTTTGCGCAGCATCAAGCAGAAATAGCGAAAATGGGGCAGTTTGATAATATCTGTGCTGAGAAGTTGGACTGGAGGGAAAGTCTTATTGGTAAATACTTGTTTTATTGTTTTGTAATAGTATTTATGATCACAAAATATTCAGTAGTCGTATCCAGGAGTAGTACGTGGAATTTTCTTCAGCAATATGTGATGATGTGGTTTTACCACTTTTCTGTTCCACTAGACTTTCTTTTCTAGGCCTGTGGAGGAGAGCTGCTCCACAAAACCATGCTTAGAGCAGGTCACTGTGTTGCTATTTTCCTTATAACTTACCCCGTGAGTACTTCCCCAGCTCCGCTCCCCCAGGACCATTCAGTGCCGTTTATCGAAGACGGGAGGGCAGAATTCAAAAATTATTTTTTTTCATCTGCCAGGCCTGCGAGTGCAATAGGCTTCAGAAATTAGATCTGTAACTACTTACTCCAGTGTTATTATTTACAGAGAAAGCTGATTATTTTTTTTTATTAGCTGTTATTTGTTATCCAATGCTATAGCAGGTAGATTAACAATGGCAACTCTTAACAAGGGCTTGTTATGGTTTTCCCTTTATTGACTGTGATTTCTCTGTTTATGTCAATTTTCAGTGGTTTATGTTCTAACTGCACTAAAAACAAACTACTACAAATTACTTGTCTATAAAAAGTTCCTTTAAGGAGTAAGACTTTCTGCTTATAACTAAAACAGTCCCTTGAAATCTAGGAAGCAAAATAAACATTTTTAATCTACTTGCAGCCTGGCAAATGAGTAGTAACACTCAGAATTACTTCAGTTTCAGTAGCTCTGGACAAAATGTGCTAGATAATAGTTCTCACAGATCTGACATTTTTCTTCTGAGGTTTCTAGGGCCTAAGTTAATCTAATAAAGAGAACTTTCTTGACTAAACATGGGAAAACCTCAGTTTCTTCTCTTTCTTTCCAGCCTTCCCTCTCCTTCCTGCATCACCATTGACTGGACAAACTACACTGACAAGCTTATCTCAGCTTTCTAAAAAATAGAATCTGAGTTTTGAACCATATCTAGAAGAGTTATTTATCATCTGTAATTGAAATGCTGCTTTCTGCATTGCTACTGTGTCATAAAATACACTTTTTTTAAAAGTAGTGAAAATACGTCTCTGCTTTGACTACAGAATGGCTCAGAAGTAAATGGACGTTTCAGGACGATCCCTGTCAGAAGTACTATGAAACTCTACTAGTCAATCCTGTTCTGTTGGTTCCACCAACAAAGGTATGCACCAAGCCTGAAGAGACTGCTGGTGGTTAGGTTTGGAATCAGTGACAACGCTATTTTTCTATCTGTATTTTTCTAGGCATTGGCAATTACTTTCACCAACTTCGTAACTGAGCCCTTGAAGCACGTAGGACAAGGTTTTGGTGAATTCATCAAGGCACTTATGAAGGAGATACCGTTTATTCTGCAGGTTCCAGTGCTAATTATGATGGCTCTGGCTGTCCTGGTTTGTATACATTTATCTTATGTTTTAAAGCTCAGCTTTATCTTTTATATAGAAAACTTATTTATATTTAAGAATTATTATCTATTTCTCATTTGTACTAGTAGACGGATTTCTTAGCACAGATGAAATTATTTATTTTATTATTTTTTCTTGACAAAATCTTTATAGTACAGTTGGTTTAGCAATTAAAACAGGTAAGTTTGTATTTAAACCACATCTCTCCAGCATTCCAAGTGGGATAAAATAGCATTAAACCACTTAAACTCTTAAGGTCTGTGACAGTTTATTACAGCTTAGTTCCCATTTCTTCTTTTCTTACTCAGTGATGCCTATAACAGGCATTTTGTACACAAAAGCACGGAGTTAGAGCCGTCAGCATCTTTATTGTAGCACCAAAGATGAACTACATCCAGTCTGGCAGTCCCTGCAATCTAGTCAGACTGCAGAAAGCTTGAATTGTACTGTAGCTGTTCTGATCACCTGAGCTTTTCTTTCACTGTTCTTCAGATATGTGACTTTGAATTCTCTGTGAAAACTGTTAGATGTGAATATTTGGTGTTTTGTTCTTTTTTTTTTTTTCCCCTCTCCAAGGCTTTCTGCTATGGTGCAGGATCATCTGTGTCCGTATTAAGATACGTCACATCTTTTCAGAAGAGAAGTCTTCCTCCACCTGATAGTCAGCAGGAGCAAATAGACTTTGGACAGTATGATGGGAGTAAATCAGATGGCTATTATTTGCAGAAGGTTCCTTACGTTTATAGAGGACCCTGTGACAGAGGAGACGCTCCTACGAGACCAGGAAATGGCAGCAGAAGTCCTGACACTGTGCATAAAAGCGAAAAGCCAGATACGCAAGTAGAAGAGTCTCACAAACCAGAACCTGGTGTATGTTAGTCCTGGTGCTCTTTGAGCTGCGATTAGATTTATAGATTTCAATGTCATCTGCTAGAACATGTTTAAACAACAAGCTTAACCCTGATCTTGGGGTGAGAGGAGTTCAGGGAGTACCTGTTCCCCTATAGAACAGTTCAGCAGAGGTTTCTTGGGCATGTTTTGTTCTGGAAAAATAATGTGCAGTGGCTAACTGTGGCAGGAAACTATTGAATGAGAACTCTTTATAGTAAAGACTGACTTAAATAACTTCTGTTGTGAGAGGTCAGTAGTTACGTCAGCCTGGGCAATAATGATTACCCGCAGAAGCAACGGGGAAAAAATGCAGTGCTGACTTTTCTGTAAACTATAAAACATCAAAACCAGGTTTGTACTGTAGCTTGTGGTTATTTACATGTACTGTTGTGCCAGGAAAAAAAGCTACCAGTCATTCTTTGGGTGAGCTCTGCCCCTTGAGCTGAGATGCACCTGAAACAACAGATGCCATCACTTTGGATTGTTTCATTAATAGCTTATTATTAACTTTTACAGAATAGATTGCACACTGAGTCTGAAGTTTGTAGACTAGAAACTATCACAGCTGGAAACCTTACTGAAGAACATGTACTTGAGCAGCAGAAACAAGAGACAGGCAAAGCAGAGCAAGAGACTGGAGAAAACTGCGATCCTAATAAAAACCTAGAAGGGAAATGTGCTGCGACGGAACCACATGAAGAGAAGAAAAAGAGCAGTTCGCATGACTCACGGGAAGGAGACTAAGGAAGCCGCAAGTGCTGCTGTAAGTTTTGTCTAATCTTCAGTTGTCACATACTTGCTAGCTCTGCTCTAGTTCTCAAATGTAGAAAAGAGAACATCAGTAAGCTGATGGGAACTCATCTTTGGTCAGAACATGAGTGTGCATAGCTGTAAGGTAGGGTTTAAAAACTGAGAGACTGAGTATACCTACTATTTCTGGAATTTGAAATAACTGTGTGAAGATAATTCAGCTTTAATTGGCCGATAAAACAGGCTTATGAGTGTTGCTGCTAGTTTGAAATCAAGTTTGTGTAATAAGTTTTGAGTAAAACTAGATATTCTGTGGTGGGAAAGCACTGATACTATGTTCTAGCAAACATAGGCCTCATCAGGTAACTGTCAAACAGCCTGAAAAAAATGTTAGTTACATGAATATCAGCAACATCAGACTAATTGCAACTCAGCTAGAAGTTTCAGGACTATCTTTGTTTTATGTTCGTTAAAATCAGTCTTAAGTAGAATTGCTGCTTGTCAGCTCAGTTCTAGGACAGCTTGGTAATTTTCTTCTAGTTTAATTATTTGCAGAAGAGTGAGAAGCTGATGCTGTATCAGATGGTTTTTTTAGAGTGATTCAACACTGAACAGAAAGTAGGAAGCACTAAATAAAAGGACTGATAAACTGATGGTAATACGTGGGTTTGGAAGAAAATTTTGTTTTCTCCTTAAAAGCAGAAAGAGGACAGTTTCAGTAGAAATCAATTTCCAGTGCTAGAAAAGCTGCAAGAGAATGTTTGTAAAACTAACTGTAAAATAGCTTGAGTTACGTGGAGCCTATGTCTTATGCAGTTAGTAGTCTATGTCTTTATAGTAGTTGAAGACACTTCTCTATGTAGTAAGTTCATCATCAATCTCAGTGACTTTTCAGAACCATGGGTTTGATCAGATACACAGCGGATGAATTTGCCCAAATAGTTGTGAGTAGAAAAAGTAACTCCACTAACAGAGCATTTCAAATGTCAAGACAGACATTTACCTGGCTAAAATAATATATTAATGGAATGTATATACTTGTCAAAATCCCTACTTTAAGTAACAGAAAAATACTCACTCTTCAACAGTCACAAGGAGTACAAACCTTTCAAATTGATACTTGAATCTGTAGAATAACAATAGGAATTTATTCTTACAATGCCATTTTACTCAGAAGCTGAAAGGAAGTGTTACTTAAAAACAAGTGTATCTTCTTAAAAAATTACTCTGCTTGTAAAACTGCATTGAGTAATACAGGAAACACTTAATATTACCAAAACCCCCAGTATATTTGAAAAGACTATTTTTTGGATTAAACAGAATTAAAACTGAGCTTTGATTTTTTTTTTTCTTTAATAAAAAAATGATTGCAGAAACAGTTTCAAAGAAACAAAGTACTGAAGCTATTTCACAATTTTTTTTTCTTTAAAAAAAAAAAACATATAAAAGAAAACAGGACCTTTTTCCAGGGAGGTATAAATCAGAAAAAAAAAATCAAGTTTTCTTTAAAAAGAACATACAAATTTAGGTCTTGCACTACATGAAGACACTGTCAGAATCCACACATCAGCAATGAGAATATCCTGACATGGAAAAAAAATTCATCTTAAAGTTCATAAACTAGAGGCAGTTAAGAGAGAGATACAGTAATCAATCGGTATCTCAAACACTGCTAAAAAAGCATCTGCCACCTGCAAACAGCAGTGGCAGCTCTAACTACAGGTCACAAGTGTGATGCTGCTGCTATTTATACAAAATATTATTAGAAAAGGGACAAAACTATTAACTGCAGTCTTCTGTAAAAGGCATGTATGTTTTCCCAGCAAACAACGATACCTAAGATGCTGATGTACCGTATGTGCCTGTTTATTTCTTCAGCTAGAATTTGGTCCCTTTATAGTTGAGGGTAAATGGACTCTTTGTTCATCCATTCTCTTTGCTTGTGATCTTAAAATCAGGCTGAAAAAGTCCTCATCTGGTACTGTCGGCCCTTTTGCAGATGAGGGAGGAGCACATCTTTGATCATCCAGTCTGGAACCCTACAGACAAAGCAACAAAGCTGCCTGGTTACAGGAATATAGATGATCAAAAAGTGAACAGTAGAAGTGGAAAACTACTAAAAGCTTTTGTTTTCAGATTTAAAGCTAAGGTTTTTTTCAAGTTAAACTTCTCATGTGAAACCAGTAACTGTGCAAGTGCAGCTAAATGGCTCCCCCGAACCACCTGTCCATGTGTATCTGAAAGTAAACCCCCCAATTTAGTTCTTTCATAGTGCAGAATAAGATTTAAGTGTCCTTTGTCCAGAGGAAGAATTTTAGTATTACTACATGGTATTTCTAGTCTAACACAACAGAGAATATGGTTCTCTTCCTTTTCTTGTACAGGGAGTAAAAAAAAAAAAATAGCCACACTGTTGTCAGATGTGGAAAGGCAATATTGAAAGAAAGTTTTCCTCCAAACTCCAGTACGCTTTAATCCCAGCGTGACAGAGCAGTTGCTGACACCTCGGGGATAGTTTCTGTGCTCCTTTCACAGCCACCCCCTCCTGCGCAGCTTTTCCAAGTGCCAGCCAGTCACACGAGAGCTGGCTCTAGACTGCGGTCACTTCAGGAAAAGCACGGCTTTCAGTGGCAGATTGACCTTGGGTAGAGTCATCTTTGAGACCAAAGTCTCAAAAATCAGTTACCCTTTTGTGCTTCTGGTTAAAGCAATAGCACCCATCATGATTGCAGGGATGAAATGTTTCTGTTCCCTTTGCAATAAGCACAGTCAGTCACTGTGTTATGTTTGCTACATCTAGTGCACGTGAAGAGACAAAATCTGTCCTATTAACCTGTATAGATTCTTTGCTTCACTCCAAGTAGTAAACAGAGAAGCTGCTCAAACAGAATGTGGTATTTCATCAGGCTGATGAACACTTGTGATTATAGACTCAGTTCCACCCAAGCTAACACACTTGCTTTCCCTTTGGGGAACTCAGGATCTGAATTTTGTATTTTGAGATCCTTCTCAACCCATCAAGTAAAAACACATCTTTTTAACTGAACGCTCTTTGGCCTCAGAGGTGTTTACACCACGCCCTACTTGACAGACATCTCACTTGTGTTGCCATGAACTGTTATTTAAACATAAGTGGAACAATGATCACTGTCACCACTAAAACTTTGATACTGAATTCTTTAATTTGATAAGTTAAGGATTCATGGTATATCAGGTGCCCTTTGAACAAGCTTAATCTAAACACTTTATTAAAATAATTTTACATGCTCCTTTTAATAGCCTCACTTGTTTTCCTTCTGTCTGTTACTTTAAATGGTTGACACGGTATAAATACCAAAAATTACACTTACTAGACACCACATAATTTGAAAAAAAAATCAAAACAAGAAGAAACTGTAAAAAAGCAAACTTGAAAAAAAGTTCTTTTGTTCTCTATGTAACTTTTTGTCTCTATGTTCTTCCTTCTCTGCCAAATCAATTTGTATCTTGAAACATATAAACATGGTGGCTTACTTGAAGAAACTAAATAGCAGGATGCACAAAGCAAATCCCCGAAGACTCAGAATCTGGAGAATTTTTGTAAAAAAAAGCCCATACCTGGCATTTTACCAATATATCAAAGAAGTCATCATCCAGTTCTCTGTTGTTGGTTGCCATGAGGTGACCCAGGACTGACTGACTGCTGTGCTGATTAAGACAAAGTCCAGGTAGATTACAAAAGCTGGCGCGCTGGTCATCCAGCCGGCGGCTCTGGGAGCTAGCGATTAGGTCTAGAAATTCATCTGTGTGGGGTGAGACTACAGAAGTAGAAAAGGCTGGGGAGGAGGAAGAAAACAAGTTAGCCTAGAAAGAAGTTCCTTTCTTTAGTAAGTCTTGCATGCAAATACAGTGCTGGCAGGAACTAGTCAGATACAGATTCTACTTTTTAAAAATTACATTTTGTCATTGTTTTAGGTGGAGTAGAGGATGTTGCCGCTGAAGCAGATGAGAATCTGTTCTTCTCCTGGAAGTGGCATCTCTGATCATCCATCCTATTACTCTGGAATCGACTCAGCAGATCAAAGAACCCTTCATCTGCCATTGTCTCTCGACTGTTTTTCTGAAGAGGAGAGAAGAGTTAGGGGTATTTTGAACTCAGGAGTACCTAAAACTAGGCCAGCTGCATCACAGCTTAATTCCAGTAATATGTTTGGTATTTGGTTTGGCACATCTGAAATACATTAAATGCTTTTTTTTAGTTATCCAATTCTATAGGCAGATTTATTGCAAGAGGAAACGCTAATAATATGTCAAGAATTTTTAAAAGGTAAAAGAAACATTTCATTCTCTGAAACAGAAAGAAACAGTGCTCTGATCAGTACAGCTGAAGGTTCCTCTTCCTCAGCTATGAATCCACCAAAAAGCCCATAAAAGAAAAAAAAACCCCAGCCCTGAACAGTTTCCACTGTCTCCTCAGGTTTATGATCAGCACTCATCTCTCTACATCAAATGACTTAGTTCTATTTTTACCTGACTTCTGTCAAAAGTGCAACAACTTAAAAAATATGTCAAAAATATCTCCCACTGTCTGAATCGGAAAAAAATAGATCTTTTTAAGTTTGGAGAAGCAGGGTCTAGAAGAAACGAGAAATAAAATATAGGTACAAGCTGAGCTGTAACTTTAGAAAATCCACCAGGAAAAAATGTTCCAATTGTAGGAAAAGCTTGAAACTGGCACCACCCATGAGACAGCTGTAGAAGGACAGATTCTGCATAGTTTTACACAGCCACAGTGTTTAAATCAAGTAAACTGAAATGGACAGCTGCAGGAACGTGTTTTCCATGATTTTGATCAGACAAAGATGAGTAAAGGCCCACAGCTCGCCAAACCTACCCTCTGAGAGTTTGGAAGTCGATGATCAATAGAATTACTGGCATCCTGCAAAACTTTGGAAGTGGTGCCGTTTTTGTACTTTTTGCCTTTTAGCCGATTTACAAAATGCAGTTTTGATGAA